GTGCACGGCGCTACCACCGGAGGCGGCGCGCACCGGCTGCCAGCTGCCCGCGATGCCCATGCAGGGCGGCGCGCTGAGCCCCGAAGAAGAGCTGCGGGCCGCTGTGCTGCAGCTGCGTGAGACCGTCGTGCAGCAGAAGGAGACCTTGGGTGCGCAGCGCGAGGCCATTCGTGAGCTCACGGGCAAGCTGGCGCGCTGCGAGGGGCTGGCGGGCGGCAAGGCGCGGGGCACGGCCACGGGCAAGGACACCATGGGCGACCTGCCGAGGGACCCGGGCCACGTCGTGGAGCAGCTCAGCCGCTCACTGCAGACCCTCAAGGACCGCCTGGAGAGCCTCGAGGTAGTGGCGTGCGCGGGGTATCTAGGGGGTGACGCCCTCGGGTCGTGGGATGGAGGTTATGCTAGAGATCCGTACATGGTCCTGTCTGATGTGCACTTATCCTTGGGGTGAGCTGAGTTTGGGGGTGCAGGGAGAGGGTCTTGGACCTGCCTTGGACCTTACTTAGCGTCGCACCCCTTCCTCCCGCCCACCCCCATCTCCATGTTGGAAGGGGCTGAAATCCCCCAACTTTGCGCGTCTGGACTGCCCGCTGAGCCCACTGTGAACTTCCCAAGATCCTAGCTAGCTAACCCCGACCACCAAGACTGGAGCGAAATATCTGGGACCGGATATCCTCTTAACTCTCCCTGCTAAATCCAAATCTCTGAGCCGGGCGTGCTCCCGATGGTTGTGTTCAGTGCTGTGAGGCTGCATCAGGAGGTCAACTACCCTGGGCATGTGCTGTTTGCTTTTATAAATAGGGTCGGACTGAACCAGAGAAGGGGCAGGGACTCGTTGAGAAGAGAGTGTAGGGAGGCCACCAGCGACTTAAGAATTAGCGTCAGAGCAAACATCTTAACTTCAAAGATGCCTCTGACTACTAAGTTGGACCATTTTAAGGTGCCCTTCAGGATAGCTTTGGGGGAAGGGGACCTTATTCCCTTGGCTCTACTTGAAAGATGTGTGCAGTTTGGAACTTTGAGAGAGAAATCATCAATTAATTTTTCTTTACACTCTACTTAAGAAGTGTGGTCGTAGCTGTTAATAGCATTCATCAACATACCTATTAGCAAAAGTAGGTTTTAAATTACAGGTGGTAATTATTGCTAAATTATTGGAGGGTTTCTTTTGGCATGACAGCTAAATACAGTATTTCCAGCATCTGTACCTCTTATTAGTCATTGTGATTACTAACAGCTAACATTTCTTGAGGACTAAATATAAGTCAGGCATATTACTTAATTTTAACCCTTGCAATGAATGGCATGAGGCAGTTCTATTTTTTGCAGTTTACAATTTAGAACACTTGGACGTAGGAAGGGGTAAAGAACTTGCCAAGGGCTCTTGGCTAAGGCAGCAGCAGGCTGCTTCCAGAGCCAGCATGGTGGTGGAGGGATAAGAGAAATAGGAAATGAAGATTTAGAAACAGCATTAAAAAAATATTTCTGGAATTTAGAATAGTAACATTTTATGTCTGTCATTTTCCAGAATATCTCTGCAAGCCTAGGTGTTTACTTTGTACTGCTCTAAAACTTGGAGGATGCTTTCATTTCTAGATGCAAGCTCACTAGCTTTGAGTACCATTGATTAACGCTGTAAAACAAAATCCCCTCTGATTTGGTATTTTTCTGAATTGCAGGTAGTTAAAATTTTTACTTTTTATTAAGAGGAGAAAAGCAGCTTTGAGAGGGGAAAATGGGATTTGCAAGTTTTAAATACTGCAGCAAAGTAATTCTGACTTTGAAATCCTTTCCTTTAAAAAAAAAAAGCATCAGTGAAATGCTCCCTTTTGAGCCATTGGCATGATTTAATGCTGAGTTTTGGAAGCTTCTCCCTGTGTGGTCGGGCCATTGGAGCCACATGTCACAATTTCTATTCAGCTGGCCTGAATGTCTCTCCCTCTTGTCCCCCTCTCTCTCGGCAACTAAAAGCTCCAGCTCCGCACGAACGTGTCAAACGCTGGGCTGCCTAGCGACTTTCGAGAGGTGCTACAGCGACGGCTGGGGGAGCTGGAGAGGCAGCTGCTGCGCAAGGTGGCAGAGCTGGAGGACGAGAAGTCCCTGCTCCACAATGAGACCTCCGCTCACCGACAGAAGACAGAGAGCACCCTGAACGCACTGCTGCAGAGGGTGGCCGAGCTGGAGCGAGGTACGTGCTGTGCTTGTTTTGTCTGAGTGGCCTGATTTTCATCACTTGTGGTCAGACCCAAGATTTTAGTTTATGGACAGCAGTGATTGTGGCATAACATGGAGGTGTTTTTGGGCATTTGTGCAAATAATAAAGGTGACCGACAATGGTCATCTCAGGAAATAGTCCCCAGTCCTACTGGCATTACCCATGGGAAGGCAAATGAATTGGAGACCAGGTTGGGTAAATAACCCAATCTCTGGCCTTCTGCCACATGGGCATTTCAGCCTCAACTAATCCTTGCAGCAAATTCTGGTATCTTTCTCTTCCCTGTTCACAATGTGGCGGGTAAATTTCTCCCACAGGAGACAAAGGGAGGAATCAAGGGCCCTACATAATTCAGGTTGTATTTATCAACTCCCAAATTGCTGGGTGGCATAGGTGTGAAGTTTGGTTGCTGAAATGAGTATAGGATAATAATCTTCTCAGTTGCACTTACACGGCAAAGGCAATTTTTGATTACTTGGTTTCATGAATTGATCAGAGAATGTCCAACAGCAGAATCCCTGTGATTCTTGTAATGACATTGACTGAGGAGGGCCAGAAGGAGAAGGGGATTCACTCATGGTCTGTTCATCCCATGAGTCACATGTCTCTTCTACCCCTTTCCTTTTATCTCTTTCTCCAGAGAAGTCTATCCTTTCTTCCCTGACAGGGTGAAGTGTGGCTAACCTGTTTAACTTGGATTCTTGAGTGTGGAAGACAGTTTCCTCTCTGCCTCCCCTCTGCTTCTGGGTAACACCAGGAGACCCGTTAGGTCTCGGAGCCTTCCCTGAGGGCAGAATAGCTGCAGCGGAGGCCTTTCCATCAGGCAGGAGTGGAGGGTGGCATCTGGCCACGGCCAGAGTGGACTCCTTGACCTGCTCTCAACCACAGTGGATCCTAGGGACATTCAGGGCCATGACGTGGGCACACTGCAGTTTAGTGTCTTGAGGGGAGGCTGTAGAACCAGAGCAGAAATCCGGAGGGCTGGTAGCTCTCTTGCACAGTGACCAAGTTGCCCCGAGGAGACGTGCTGTAGGAGTGCACAGAGTCAGCGTGGAGGCAGGCAGGCAGGTACTGAGTGCCTCACCTCTGGGGATTAGGTTGCTGTTGTATTTATTTCACAGATGAGAAGCATCTCATTTCTCAGCCAGACAAATGTCATTTGGGTAAAGGGGACCAAAGAGGCCTGGGCCACTCACTATTGAGCGACAACAGTGATGTGAACCTGCACCTTCCTCTTGTCTGTCCCCCGACTCGAGACCGCTGTGTTTCACGTGCTTTACTCCAGTCCTCTTCATTGTGGCTCTGGCTACCAGGAGCTGCCCCTTGGAGACCCCCTCCCATCCGTAGCCTGTTTGTTCGCAGCCAGAAGGAAGGAGTCAGGACTCGGGCCCAGGCATCCTGGTTCAACCATCCATAGTTCTCACTAAAAGTCCTCAAAGCTATCTGACCCAGAAGGGACGCTTGATGATAATGGGGCCATGCCCCTGGTGGCCATGCCTGCCGAAGACTGGCTCAAGAGAAGCAGCTCAGCTTTTATGGTCTGGTGCCCTTTGACCCCACTATGGAAACTCTGAAATCTTCCTTGTGCTCTATCAACTCAGTTTGGGGAGGAGTCTTTAAGGAAAGTGACCATTTGCTTACCAGTTTGTTCTCTGTCCTATTTGTGACCATTGTAAAGGGGTGTGTAACCACCCAGCCCCACATTGTGCTATGGGTGGAAAGTACATCAAGGTCCTGAGCAGCACCACTTGAGCTCAGAGGAGGTGGATTTCAACAATGTAGCAAGTGGGGGACTTTGGGGATCTCTGGCCAATGGTCCACGATCCTGGGCCTGTTCTGGGCCAGATTCTTGGCTGTGGGTTTCATACTCTGTCTCCTCTAGGCCCTGCAGCCACCCTATGGCAGGTATTTGTTACAGATGAGGGACTGAAGTGGAAGAGCCAGTGACGCCTGTGTCCACTGTAGAGCTGAGATTCAGGTTGACGACCCAGAGGAGGACTGAAGGTTCTGGCCCTACTGGGCAAGAGGCTCCCTGGAGCTTAGCAGGCAGCCCCCACCCCCTGGGTGTGAATGCTCATGCTACCTGGTCCCCAGGATGCCCGATTTTCCTTGTTGTAAGGTCCGATCATTTGCAAGAGTTTCCAGAGTCTGGCCAGCTGGCCAGGCGCAGCTCGGCTCTGTGTTGAAATCCGTGTTGGCACCAAGAAGACAAGAGCTTCCTGCTTCTAGCCCCAGGCTGCCCGCCCCCCTCCTTGGACTTGTCTGCCACCTGCAGTCTCTGATTTATTGGTCAGGCCTTTTAATTCCTTAATTGGTTTTAACCAAGTTTCCTCTGAACCTCTAAGCTCTTTTATTCAAATAAAAGGCACCAGCTTTCAGGGTATGAGCCCCCTCCCCTGCCCTCAGCTCTCCTAACTCTAATTAAACCTATCTGTTGTCACCAAGCTAACGATATTACCGACACTGACTCTTATTAAATTGGCAAGCTGGCCCACCTGCAAGCATAGAAGCCATTTCTCTTTATTAGATAATGATGCCTTCATTAAGAACATGGCCATTTGCCACTTGAAGATTAAGTGCTGGTGGCTACATGTAGTGGAAAGAGGGACTTCCAGTCCTGCTCTGTTATTCACTAGCTGTGTGACCTTGCATAAGTCACCTCATTTCTCTGAGCCTCAGTGCCTCAACTGTGTAGTCTACAAAATGGGGGAGTGGGGACTTTCTGGTTCTGTCTCTGATTTTGTTTGGCCTAATGAGGGCCCAGCCGCTGCCTTCACTGTGGCCCAGCTCCCCAGCTTCCAGGCCAGGGTGAGTCAGGGAGACTCCAGCCAGGAAGACCAGATCCTCATATTGATGCTTTGCCTGCTCCAGAGCCTGGGAGGGGACACTGAGCCCTGCTGCTGTCCCGTGCAGAAGGCCCTCCTCAGATCCCCGTGAACTCTGGCACCAAAGGGCTTCTGAAAGCAAGTCCAGTGGGGGAGGGTTGTAGTGGAGAAAGGTTATCTGACCATCGGGCACCTTGTGGGTATTTACTGAATGTGTGTTGAATGAGTGAAGGGTATTTGGGCTCCTTCACAGGCAGGATCTGGTCCCCAAATAGAGGAAAGCATGTCACCATGACAGCTCACAGAATCAAGTGTTTTCTGCAAACTGGAACGTGTGGCAGCAGGGACTATTGTTGTTAAATTCATTTTGAGATTAAACCAAGACTGCATTGAAAGTCACTTAAATCCACTTGAGAGTTGGTGTTCAAGGATTTTAGAAGTGCTGTGTCCACGCGGGTGGCCAGGGGACCTGGGAAGTTTTTACCAGTCCTAGAAAGGTCTAGAAGCAGCAAGGCTCTGGCCAGGTGTGTTTTCTGAGTGAGGGCACCACTTCTGCCTCCCACTGGTTCCATACTACAGGGAATGCTCAGGAAATACAGCCTCTCCTTGGAGGAAAGGGCCAGCAGGAGCAAAGGTGTCCACAGCAGAGATTCAGACCACAGCCACTTGTAAGTGGAGTTGTAATGTCAAGACCCAGAGCCCGACTCCTGGCCCTTGTGGTGGTAATTATTCAGTGTGACAAGTGATATGGGCTTACTCCTGCAGTGTCCAGTTCCCTGTGAGACTTTCCACCTGTCAGCACAAGGCCCCTTGGGTTCTGGACCCTGCCCTTGCTAGAGAAGCCAAGGAAAGATCCGAGGATATCATTGAGGAAGGGTTTTCTGGAACCTTCCCTTATGCCCGTATGAATGAGGACATTAAACCCAATTTGACTCTACCTCCTTCCTGAAGCTTTTCATCGTTTTATTAAGCTGGGCTTAATAAAATTTATTAAAATGAATACAGGTCCACACCTGTATTTCCAGCAACATGGGAGGCTGAGGTGGGAAGATTGCAAGCTCAAGGCCAACCCGGGCAGTGTAGCAAGACCCTGCTGGAGAGAGAATAAAAATGAAAAGGGCTGGGATACAGCTCAGTGGTAAAGCACTCTGGATTCAATAGCCAGTACTGTAAATAAATAGATAGTTAAGAAAATAGGAAATGTTAATGAAGGGATCCGAGCTTCCCCTTTGGATTTAAATAGACCTCTTCTCCTATCCTAAAAGACAAGCAGAATTCTCTACCGGGTCCAGTGCGTTGCTCACAGGAGATTCTTTTTCCCCTTTCCTGGGCCTTCCTGGGCCTTGTACTGGCTGGTACTTATGGGGTAGTCCTTGTTGGTGGCAGACCTTTCCATGCCCTGAGGTCACCATCCTTTGCTGGCCATATCAGCCACTCATAGCTGGAATAGCTGCCCGATTTCCCTCTTCGCTTGCTGCTGGGTCCTTGTCTGTCTTCCCCATCCCTCCATGAGGGCAAGCACTGTCTCTCTGGCTGCTGGACTTTAGCACTTGGAACAAGACCAACATGTGACAGGTAGCCAGTCATTCTAGGGGCTGCCTGCATGAGGTCCCCGAGAGACTCCCCTGCCCAGGCTGGAGGAGGGTGGTCTAACTTGCTGTGGCTTCTCCTCTCTCCACCCAGGCAACAGTGCATTTAAGTCACCAGATGCATTCAAAGTCTCCCTTCCTCTCCGGACAAACTACCTGTATGGCAAGATCAAGAAGACATTGCCCGAGCTGTATGCCTTCACCATCTGCCTGTGGCTGCGGTCCAGTGCCTCGCCGGGCATCGGCACCCCGTTCTCCTACGCTGTGCCCGGGCAGGCCAATGAGATCGTGCTGATCGAGTGGGGTAACAACCCCATCGAGCTGCTCATCAATGACAAGGTAGGCCTGCTCGCACTCCCCACCTCTCAGGCAGCGGATCCAGGTGTTGAGGGAGGTGGACATCTGGAGGGTGTCATCACCGACCAGCCTTTACCACATTGTCCAGATCCCAGCCTACCACACTTGCCTTCATCCACAGAGCAGGGGCCACAGGCCTGCATCGGCAGAGCGGTCCTCCTCATAGGGACAGCTCTGCACTGAGTCAGTCCCTTCTGAGGGGTGGCAGCCAGGCAAGCCTTGGGGCAGCTGCTGCTGGTGGTGATCCAAGCTGTGAGTCTGGCCAAGAGGCAGCAGAGAGTCCAGTCACCAAGGGAGTGGGAGGAGCAGAGAGCAGATCTGCATGCAGGGACAGCCTGGCCGACTCGCACCAGTGTTCTGGCAGAGGGCACGTGTGCGCGTCTGAGGGTGATGGCTGCTCTGGGCATGCCTTTTTGAGAGATCAGGCTTATTGAAATAATTTGCATATGATGAAATTTACACTTTTTAATGTATGTTTTGGCCAGTTTTGATAAATGCATTCAGTTGTGTAACCACAACCACAAAAATAATATACATCTGATATAAACACATGAGCAGTTCATGTTTGTACACATATAAAACAGCAAGTATGTTTAATGTAACGCATCATCACCCCGATTTCCTCATTTCCTTCATAGTCAGCTCTTGCCCCAGCCCATGCCAACTGCCCATCTGTTCTCTGGACCCATAGTCTTTCTTCTTTCAAAGCAATTGCTCCTCTTTAATAGGCATTTAGAAATGAGGTTTCCTTGAAAGAGGGGTGGGGCCCACTGGGACCTGCCTGCAGCCCCAATGCCAAACTTTCCTTCTAAGGTCATACTCAACAAATGCGCCTCCTCCTCCTCCTCCTGGGTGCATCTGAGCATTTGATGGCTGTATTCACTCCCTGGCTGCTAAAGCCACTCCAGAACTGGAGGGGGAGGGAGCCAAACCCCTGGCTTTGTGGTCTTCCCTGAAGTGCCCCAGGTAGACTTTGTTTAAGTTGGTAGTACTCTTCCCTGAGCCAAGGATTAATTGCTCTAAATAACACCCCAGGACACTGCAGGCCTGAGGGCCTTGTTTTCCTCTGTATTTAGACCTCTTATAAACATCTAATTCCGGGAGGGAGGCTTGAGGTTGCTAGGAGACCAGCAGTAACAACAGGGCGGTGCACAGCCTGCCTTGGGTGGCTTTCACAGGTGGCTGGAGCCTGTTCACGCCCCCCACACGTGCTCCCGCCCCTCCCTGCACACACTCAGAGGCTTCTAGCCCTCTGCACAGGCAGGACCCAGGACGTGGCACCCACACCGCTCCCCCTAGCACGCTCAGATCCCTGAGTGCCACCTGGGGGGTCCGGGACTCTGCCTGAGAGAAGATCCCAGTTCTGACTATTTTCCCAAGTTGGCTGGGGGATGGGGGGAGGGGGAGGGGCTGACTCCCTTGGGCTCTGCACCTAGAGCTCAGAGCTTGCATGGGACGGTGGGCCCTCAGTCAAGCCAAGAGTGTCCTTGTCACAGCAGGGGCTTGTGCCCAGGCTGCCCTCTGCCTCCATCTGTGTGTGAGTGTCAGGAGTGTCACCACCTGTTGGGAAGTCCAGCAGAACCAGGGGAAAGGGAGAAGCGATGGCCCTGGGACACCCAGGTACCTGCCTTACCTGCCCGGGGGTGTCCCTACAGATCAGAGCCCAGCAGTCCTCACTGTGCGTTGCCACCCACAGGTTGCACAGCTGCCCTTATTTGTCAGCGACGGCAAGTGGCACCACATATGTATCACCTGGACGACACGGGATGGCATGTGGGAAGCTTTCCAGGATGGAGAGAAGCTTGGCACTGGGGAGAACCTGGCCCCCTGGCACCCCATCAAGCCAGGGGGTGTGCTGATCCTTGGGCAGGAGCAGGTGGGTGCCTTCCCTGGATGCTGCAAGGTGGGGATGCCAGGCCAGCAGCACAGGCTTCCCGCAAGCTGCCCACCCGAGCTGTCTGCCCCACAGACCTGGCCACTGTGGCCTGAAGGACAGTGAGGTCCCTGACAGGCTGGCTCATGCTGTCTCAGGGCAGGCATGGGGACATAGCCAGCACTGGCAGGGACCAGGTTGGTGTGGTGGGTTCTGACCCAGGGGCAGGAGTGTCCCTGTGGTCACAGTGCATCTTGGGATTCGGGTCCAGCTTCCTTCTGGGGCGGAGAGGCATTCCGTGAGCACTTGGCCTTGGCTGGCACAGGATGCTGCAGCTGGAATCCAGGAGCAACTTACCCAGGGTCTGGCCCTGGCCCCAGCAGGGGCACTTGGGAAATGCTGGGGGATCGCAGCCTGCAGGGGGATGGGGAGGGGACAGGGAGACCTCGAGTCTCCGAGGAACTTGCCATCCAGGTGAGGGGAGCAGTGGCTGGCTGGGGGCAGAGGAGACTCACCCTGCCAGCCTGTGTTAAGGTGTGAGGACAGTGGAAGGCGCTGGGTGGGGCTTGGAGGCTGGGCCCTCCTTGGCCCCCTTCCCCCCTCAGTTCCTCCACTGCCTGTCCCCTGAGGGCTGGGAGTCTGGAGGCCCAGCCACTCTCCCAGCTTGAGGCAGGTGTCTCCTTTCTGGCCTCAGTTTTCCCCATATAAAATGGGTGCTTTGAGGAAATCTGTCTCCAGGCCTGATGTGCCCTGGAACCCGAGGACCCATACAGTCTGGGTCTGGGTGTGATTGGCAGGTGGAGGGGTGTGGGGGTGCTCCTCCCACCAGTGTCCCTGGAGAGTGAGCAGCCGAGTTTGCATGTGCACGCCCCCTGATGTGGATGTCCTTTCCCAGGACACTGTGGGGGGCAGGTTCGATGCCACACAGGCGTTCGTGGGGGAGCTCAGCCAGTTCAACATATGGGACCGCGTCCTTCGCGCACAAGAAATCGTCAACATCGCCAACTGTTCCACGAACATGCCAGGCAACATCATCCCCTGGGTGGACAACAACGTCGATGTGTTTGGAGGAGCTTCCAAGTGGCCCGTGGAGACCTGTGAGGAACGCCTCCTGGACTTGTAGCCACCTTCTCCCCGATCAGGAGGGGACCAGGCTGTCCCTGTGGGGAGTTCAGGGCCAGTTACTCCCCAGCCAAACTGTGACAAACCTCCTGCCCTCGTGGGCAGGACCCCAAAGCCCATTCCTGGAGGATTTCGAGACGGAGGCTGGGTGGCAGCATTTGTCACTAGCATGTTTGTTCCTCCCTAAGACTTTGTTGTTTTGGGGGTCATACTGGAGTCCCCTGGGAAGAAGCCTGAGCCGCATGTGGGCAAAGAGCTGACTCCCCGCCAGGGGCGAGGTCCACAAGCCCTTCTCCAGAGTCCCCGTAAGTGCTGGCGCTGCCCAGCCTTGCCTGCCCCTTGGGTCCCTGGTGTCCTTGTTGTCTGTCCCCTTTAATAGCTGTGCAGCCATCCCCCATCCCTTGTGTGGAGTGCACCCCTGCTGGTGACAGCATTGTGAGTCCCTGTCTGAGGAGTCTCAAGCCTGCAGGGGCAGCTGCCACCATGAAGCCTGCCTTCTCCCAAGCAGAGGGGGCGTCCTGGCTCCAGAATGGAGGAGGGTGGTGACAGCTGACCCCTCCCCCTCTGCCACCTCTTCCTCAAACCCCGCTTTGACTGAATCATCCCTGACTGAATCATCGCTCAGTGGCTTTGAAAGGCCTCTCTTCTCATGTGGTGCCAAAGTTCATCTGCAGCTTTTACAACCATCCCTGTGGCTTGGGGGATTTATTTTTTCCCAGTAGAAGAGAACAGCCATTAGGAGGCTCCCACTCCTGGTGTCCTGCCCTGCGAGGCACGTGCTTGTCCTCATCCTCGTGGGTCCTGTGAGCGATTCATGGGCCCATCTACTGTTTCCCCAGAACTGTGAGGGAAATGGGTGTCATTTGATACTGCTAGTGACTCCAGGCTGCTTAACACATTGTAACTTATTTTAAAGGGAAAGTGATTAAGTGGGGAAATTTACAAAGCTAAATATTATATATTTTATTTTTCATACCTGTTTGAAGTGCAAATCTGTGGAATTCCATTTGTAGGACCAAGTTGACGTGCTCATCCTGACATTGTATGCCACGAGAACTCTCTTCATGATGGAATTTTGATTAAAATGCACTGGAAGACGCTTTGGGCTTTGTGTTCCCTGTCAGGCCAAGGGTAGGAGGGGGGTGCAGAGCACAGCTGCTGAGGCTTGTGGGGGAAGGGGGGCACCCTGAGGGCACACTGTGGGCCTGCGGGAGGGTTTAGCCCAGGTCTGCCCCTCCTTGCCCAGTGCCAGGCTGTGGATGCCCAGCAGGCTTTGTGTCCCCAGGCCATCACTCTCTTCTCAACCCGAGGATCCACCATCGAGCTCAGCAAGGAGACCCTGAGTTGCCTCCAGGTGACATTCTGCTCAGTGCCTAATCTGTGCAGGTGCCCCACAGATCTATTTAGCATCCCATTTAATCCACTTAGCATCTCCTTGAATTCATTTAACAAACCCCTGAAAGGCTACCCCTTGCAGGTGAACTCACAGAACAATTAAAGCTGCAATTGGAGTCTGCAGCCAGTGAAGGGCAGACCCAGGGGCACAGCCGGCCTGTGACTCTGAAGGCCCTTCCTTCCACCACCCACTTCCACTCACCTCTGCCTTCTGCTCCTTGGTTCTGAGGAACCCAGCCCCCCTGCTTCCACCCCGCGCCCCCTCTGTTCCCACCTGGCCCTGATCGGGGGCCTTGATAGTTTCCCCATTTCTGTCACCACTGGCCACTTCTGTCTTTTTTGTTGGCAGTACTGGCGATTGAACCCAGTGCCTCTCCCATGCCAGGCAGGTGCGGTACCACTGAGCCACATCCCCAGCCCTCCATTTTTATATTAAGCAGCTACAGAATCTATCTTGGTTTGTCTCTACCCAAGAGTCTAATCTGGGGGCCACCTGACAGGATGTGCTTGATACCAAGGCTCAACAGGAAAGTCACCTCTGAAGCCAAGACCAGGGGTTCACCAAGGTCCCTGGAGTCCGTCTTCGGCATTGTGAAGATTCTCGCAGGAACTAAACCCTCTTAGAGTTGGGAAAAGGTGAAATTAGGACACATGCCTTTGGCTCAGGGGTCTTTGGAGCCCACCACGCGAGGCCACGTGGAGAGCAGTTTATTACAAATTCCCTTGATGAAAATCCCAGGTGGCTCTGGGAAGGGGACAAAGGGTTTCCTCATTTTGTGCACATGCCAGGTGCGGAGCTGACCCACCCCATCCTCGACACTGCCTCTTGCTAGAGCAGACCCTGGGAACCCCTGGTGATTCAGATAACTTCCTCCCTGCAGCTGGGGGAGCTTCGAGCCCAAAGCATGGGACCAAAATGCTCCTTGCTAACCTGATCTGAAGACACAGGAGCCACGGCTCAGCTGCACACTGCTCCTCTGCGATGTTGACCTGCCTGACCAAAACGAGCCATTCATTCAAACCAGGGGGCTCCTTATGACTTGAACCCCCCATCTGAAGGACACCCCTGGCCTTAGTTTCCCCACTGAGGACCTTACCCTTAGCTTGAGGCCAGAAAACACCTTGTTAGTTTCCTGGGTTCTCCAATAAGGGTGGAGTAGATAGTGTCCTGGATGATAGAATATTCTGGTTGGGTAAGGATTGCCATGGAAACCGTAGCTGAATGATCAATGATTAATGAATTGAAAAGTGATAAAAATGCAGCTGAAACAAAGGCAGTCGGGGACCAGGTCTCTGCTGCTGGGGGAGGCAGGTTTGGAACCTTCATTACCTCCCAGGTCTCCGTGCAGCTCTCACTATATGGAAGACCTTGGAAATAAATGACATCTCCCTGTTGGGCATAGGTATTACCATTATTCTGTCAACAAGTATTTTATTTTATCTATTTTATTTTTGGAGTACTGGGGATTTAACTCAGGGGCAATTTACCCCTGAGCTACACTCCCAGCCCTTTTGATTTTTTTTTTTTTTTTTTTAATTTTGAGACAGGATCCCACTAAGTTGCTTAGGTCCTCGCTAAATTGCTGAGGTTGGCCTCAAACTTTCGATCCTCCTGTCCCAGCCTTCCGAGTCACTGGGATTACAGGCATGCACTAGTACACCTGGCTCAACAAGTATTTTAGGTGCTACTGTGTGCTTTGGCCACTCTTCTAGCCTCTACTCTTTTAGTAGTAAGTAATCAAATTAGTTTAAATGGAGGTCGGTTCCAGTGGGAATCTATCTGTAGATAAGAGGCAAATATATAAATAAGAAAAATGCAGGTGATGAGTTAGGGAGTAAGTGGGGAACTACTTCCTGGGTCACATTTAGGCTAGAATTTGATTGAAGAGAGGGAGCCAATCTTGGATGAACCCCCTTTCCCCCAGGACGGAGGAAACAGCACTGTGAAGACCCTAGATTGGGCTGAGCTTGGCCGGGAAGAAGGGATGGAAGGGGATGGAAAGCCAGCAGGGCCAGACAGTGAGGGACTGAGTTCAGAGCGTAATGCAAAATGAAATGGAGAGCTCTGAGGTTGTAAGCAGAGGAGCGTGGCGATCTGATCAATGTTTGCAGAACACTTCTTTTCCTGGTGGGTGGAGAATGAATGGAGAGGGTTGTAGGGAGATGATGTAGGGAGGCTGCTGTCCCAGGCCAGGAGGAAGGTGAGGAAGGTGTGGGTCAGGGCAGGACGAGGAGATGGAAAAAAGTGAAAGGATTCGGGATGTAGAGTTGCCAAGAATCGCTGATTTTCTGAGATTTGGAAGAGGGAAATCAAATGTGAGATTTTACAAAGCTTAACAAGTAGGATAAACTCAGAGATCCACACCTAGGAACATCATAATCAAACTGTCAAAAATCAAAGACAGGAAATCTTGAAAGCAGCAAGAGAGAGGAGACTCATCACGTCCAGGAGATCCTTAATAAGATTTACAGCTGAGCTCCCATCCACATCTGTGCAAACCACCAGGCAGAGCAATGACATATTCAAAGTGCTGAAGGAAAAAAAAAAATATTGCCCGAGAATTCTTTATCTAGCAAAACTTACCTTTCAAAAAATAAAGGCAAAATTAAGACATTTCTAAATAAAAAAATTTTTAAAAAAAACCTGACCATTTAACACTAGCAGACCTGCCCAGCAAGAAATCCTAGGGGCAGTCCTTCAGGAGGGGATGAAAGGACACAGACAATAACTCAATCCTACATGAAGAAATAAAGAGCCCGGGTAAACGTAACGAGACAGGGAATTACAAAAGACAGCATGAATGTAACTGGGTGTATAGCTCTTTTTCCTTTCTGACTTCAAAGTCAACTGCGTAAGGCAATTGTAAAGTTGCACTGATGGACATCGACACATAAACATATAATTTGGTAATAATAGAACAAGAGAGTGGGGAGAGAACAAAGCTGTGTAAAAGCACATTTTTGGAATTATTATTATTAAATTGGTATTAATCTGAGCTGCATTGTTATAAATTAAGTTGCTAATTGTAGCGCATAGGCAACCACTCGGAAAATAACTCAAAAGAATGTAAGAAGAAACAAGAGGGAAATTAAAATACCACACCTCCAAATATCCATTAAATATAAACAGAGGTAGTAGTGGAGGAATAAAGGAATTAATAAACATACCAAATGGCCAACATAATCCCTACTGTTTTAGTCAGCTTTTTTCATTGCTGGAACCAAAAGACCTCACAAGAACCTAGAGGAGGAAAATTTTTATTTTGGCTCATGGTTTCAAAGGTCTCAGTCCATCAATGGCTGAATCCATAGCTCTGGGCCCAAGGTGGGGCAGAACAATATGGCAGAAGGGTATGGCAGAGGAGGACAGTTCAGGACATGGGAATGAGAAAGCAAGCCCACACCCCAGGGACAAGTAAACTCCAAAGGCACACCCCAGTGACCTACTTCCTTTAGCCACCTCCTACCTGCCTACAGTTACCACCCGGTGAAACCATATCAGTGGATTAATCCACCCATGAGATTCCAATTCTTATGATCTAGTCATGTCACCTGGGAACCTTCTTGCATTGTCTCACACACGAGCTTTGGGGCGACACCACTTATCTAAACCGCGACACCTACATTATCAGTAATCAAATGTCTCTTAAACACTCCAATTAAAAGGCAGAGTTGGAAAGAAGAGGCTTAAAAATGGATCCAACTGTATACCATCCACACATGACACGATTCAGCTTCAACGATACAAACAGGTTGAACATACAGGGAAAGGAGTCCACGTGTCACTCAAACTGTAACTGGAAGAGAGCTGAGTGACTTATGCTAATGACAGGCAAAATGGACTTGAAGACAAAAATCATCCTGACATTGCAGATGCTGAGAAGGACAGCAGCTCTTTGTTGACCGCGTCGGGGACAGAGTGGCCACATAATTTTTAGGAACTTGTGAAGGCTGCAAGACCTTACACTTGTGATAAAGTGACACTCCATTCCTTTCCTGCAAACTCCCCTGTGCATGAGTGTTGGATGCATCTCCTTGGTATGACATCACACCCAAGCTCCTGGGAACCGACATGTAATGGCGAAGTTCTTCAAGTACCCTGAGGGTATCCAGGTAAAAGTGTATTGTGTCCCATCCAGGTAAAGGCAGGCTCCAGATGACAGGATGTCAAAACATGCACCAAACAGAACACATTTAGTCAGATTTACAACGGCAAAACCTTCGCCAGTTGCTGATTGAATGGAGTCATTTCAAGTTTCAATCACACTGGACAACGGAGGCTTGAGGCTTGCAGTAACTCACGGCGAGGTGCCCGGTCATTCTTTCCAACTTTTAAGAACAGACCCAATTGGACTGTTAATCGAGAAACAGTGGAGATGATCACCCCTTCACTAAATGGGGTCTTGGATAATGAATGGCCATCCTTACGGTCCCGGCTTTAATTTAGATTGGGCCGTATTAACTATTGGAACTGGGGGAAGGCCCATGGAGTCCTATTTTTTTTTCCAAGCCAATTTATAAGTGCCAAGGATTTAATTTAATGTTAATGTGTTAATCACGGGGTCAGAGCTGCCATGCCCACTGTGGAACATCTTAGGACAACAGGCACCGTGACAGGAGGGGATCCAGGCAGGTCACGAGTGACCGTGGTGTCTCCTCTCTTACATTCAATAACTTCCCTAAGATCACAGAGTGCATCTTAAATTT